CAAAGCAGCTACCATGTTCTCAAGACTCACAAAAAGAGTATGGCTCAATAAGAAGCTGACAGTATACACCAAGATCCAGGTCTATAGAGCCTGTGTCCTGAGCATACTCCTGTACCGCAGTGAGTCCTGGACCCTTCATGCACAGCAGGAGAGAAAGCTGAACACATTCCATATGCGCTGCCTCCGAGGTATTTTTGGTATCACCTGGCAGGACAAAGTTCCAAATAGAGTAGTCCTAGATCGAGCTGGAATTTTTAGCATGTATACGCTACTGAAACAGCGACACCTACGTTGGCTCGGGCATGTTGTGAGAATGGCTGGTGGTCGGATTCCAAAGGATCTCCTGTATGGAGAATTAGTGCAGGGAAATCGCCCCAGAGGGAGACCACAGCTGCGATACAAGGATATCTGAAAGCGGGATCTGAAGGCCTTGGAAATGGATCTCAACAGATGGGAAACCCTGACATCTGAGCGTTCAGCCTGGAGGCATGTGGTGCATCACGGCCTCTCCCAATTTGAAGAGACCCTCGCCCAGCAGGCTGAGGCAAAGAGGCAGTCACAAAAGCAGCAAAATCAGGGAGCTAGACGGGGTACAGATTGTACATGTCCTAAGTGTGGAAGGGATTGTCACTCTCGAATTGGCCTTCTCAGCCACACTAGACGCTGTTCCAAGTCCTCCATGCAGAGCACGATACCATAGTCTCTCGAGACTGAAGGATGCCTATGATAGTGCAAGCCTAAAGCATACATGCTGATTCCATCTTCTTCCTTGTCTATCAGTCTTGATAGTTTTGCAGGTTCTTCCCTGCCCTGCCATCAGAGTTGTACAAAACATACGAGCTAGTAGAGAGCTGGTGATGTGGTGCAGTAATTTAGTTACAGACATTTCCCTCAGCTTGGCACCATGGAATCAGGATATAAGCTTTACTCTCCATCACATCAGCAACTAAAAGGAGCCAGTGCCTTTTTCTTTTGTCCTTTCTTTTTGGTCTAGTGAGGCTCACAATTCTGCTCAAACCTGGAAACTTTATAGAACATGCCAGGATATTAACAAACCACAAATGAATGAATGAATGAATGAATGAATGAATGAATGAATGAATGAATGAATGAATGAATGAATGAACGAACGTACGTACGTACGTACGTACTGCCCATCTGGCAGCCAAGGCCACTCTGGGCAGTTAATAAACAAACTGCAATTTAATATTCTAACCTGTTTGAAAGCTAGTTATTATATAGTCAGAGATTTCCTGGCCTCATAGCTTCTGCTGCAAAGGAAATGGTGAAGGCAAATGACTTGCTCATATACATCTAAATCAGGTCACATGTCTTTTGCAAAATAAAAAGCAGGTGGGGAAGATAAAGATGGAATCAATCAATAAATCAGATTGGTTGTCTGAACCAACACCAGGAGCAATGCTGGGTCCAAGTGTATTACATTTGAATATCAGAATTTTATATTTTAAATTTGAAGTTTACATTTGAACATCAGTCATTAATGAACATCACTCAATAAGACATAGTTATTACTGCCAACATGGTAATACATTTTATATGCATCATGTATAAAATGTGGCAGTTCATAATCTCTTCAAAGAAGTCTGAACTGCATGTAAGGAAACTCTATATATGTAAAAGGCATGTATAAAAGGTCTAAGATAATGATGGCATGCCCAAATATCCACTGACAACTGACTATATTGATGAATGGAGGAGCAAACCGGTTAAGATGCTGACAAACAAGTAACAATAATCAGGAAAGAGACATCTCAAGTGAAAATCACACAGCTACACCGTTTGTTAAAGAACATTTAATTATGTCTCATCCAGGCTATTGGTTTTTATGTCCTTCCAGATCTTCTAATGATGTATAAGGGAAGACAAACAATTCCCCAAACACTTCAATTTCAGCTTATAGTTATTTAGCTATTAATGTGGTGAAGCCTTGTCCTTCAAAGCATTTTGCAGTGAATGCACAGTTACTTAAACACATGTTCAGAAGCTCATAATCACACAACTTAATTATTTGTGAAGTTGAAATGAGAAATGGGAACATTTTAAAAACTTATCTGCCCCAAAGGAAACAAAGCTAATGCTCTCCCTCACCCGTCAGACCCTGCTCATAATGCTTTTTTGCTCTTCTAAGACATTATTATTACAGCCCACTAAAGTGAATCATGGTACCTTCTGCCAAAGATATATGGCATGCTCCAAACAACAAAGTAATTGGATGAAGAATTATTCAGTTCTAAATTACAAGGCTACCTTGTTTAAATTACATTGGCTACCAGTTGCTGCCCAGGCCCAATTCAAAGTGCTTGTTTTGACATATAAAGCCCTAAACAGCTTGGGCCCTGGATACCTGAAGGACCGCCTCCTTCCATATGAACCTACCCGGCAGTTAAGATCCAGCCAGGGGGCCCATTTGAAAGAGCAGTCCCTCAAGAAGGTAAGAGTGATGGCTTGTAGACAAAGGGCCTTTTCGGCAGCTGCCCCCAGACTATGGAACGCCATCCCAATTGATATTTCTTTGGCACCGATGCTAATGACATTTCAGCGCCAGGTCAAAACCTTCCTTTTCCAGAAGGCTTTTAATTGAAATAATATCAACTGTGGGTCCTAATGGCAATTTTTAGAGTATATATTTTAATTGTATTTTAATTGTTTTATACATTGGCTACCAGTTGCTGCCCAGGCCCAATTCAAAGTGCTTGTTTTGACATATAAAGCCCTAAACAGCTTGGGCCCTGGATACCTGAAGGACCGCCTCCTTCCATATGAACCTACCCGGCAGTTAAGATCCAGCCAGGGGGCAAAGAGCCATCCCTCAAGGAGGTAAGAGGGATGGCTTGTAGACAAACGGCCTTTTTGGCAGCTGCCCCCAGACTATCGAATGCCCACCCAACTGAAATTCAACTGGCGCCGACGGTGATGACATTTTGGCACCACGTCAAAACCTTCCTGTCCCAGAAGACTTTTAACTGAAATAATATCAACTGTGGGTCCTGATGGCAATTTTTAGAGTATATATTTTAATTGTATTTTCATTGTTTTATTTTTTTGTTGTATTTTAATTGTTGTAAGCCACCCAGAAACCTTTGGGTAGCGTGGGCGGCATATTAGATAGATAGATAGATAGATAGATAGATAGATAGATAGATAGATAGATAGATAGATAGATAGATAGATAGATAGATAGATAGATAGATAGATAGATAGATAGATAGATAGAGTAGATAGAGTAGATAGAGTAGATAGATAGATAATAAGTTAACATGGATTGCTGCATTCTGCTGTTCAAATCTATCCTGTAAGACAGAGATGGGCAACCTCCAGAGAACTGGATGTCACAAATGGCCTTGGAAGATACGTCCCACTCCCATTAGCTTACCCACATTTTTTATACAAAAATAATATTTTTAACTGAAAAGGCCCCACAGTGCTCTCTAGTGCTCAAAATGTATTAAATAAAATAAAAAATAAGTTGTGGAGGACTGCAGGGGTGCTCTCTAAACATTGCAAAATTGCCCCATTTCCACTAGTAGACAAAGCGGGGACTTTCTGTCTCAGCTTTGCAAATCATTTTAAAATGGAGGGTGAAGTTGCTGGCAATCCCAGGGGTGTGCATTTTGGCCTATGAGGGCTGAATGAAACCCATGCTGCCCACTCCTGTTACAAGATAATGCCCCATTTCATGTTTTCATGTAGACAGAATCAATTCCAGACCATATAAGTAGGCTCATTTATATGACACCCTGACTCTATACACACACCCAATGTGAGCAAACCAGCATTCTGGTGCATGCTACTTAATCTTCCCCACATGATCCATCATGCAAGTGGGAGGGCCATTGTTTATTCTTATATGCATATCAGGAGCTCTCACTTGCCCCTCCCCAACAAGCTCGAGTCAAAAGCAAGCAACAAAGCATGGCTTATGATGGGCACTTGTCAGGGGAGAGAGAAGCCAGAGCAGAGCTCCCAGTTCACATTCAGTGAAAAATAATGACAAATGATACAAGGACAGAAGACCTGTGATTTGTTTAGACTCTTCTGGTTGCAGGAGTAGCACATAAGAAGCACACATGAGTATTTGGGTAAGTGAGCAAGTATTCCCTTTGTATGTTGGATTATAATTATAGCTGGACTTGGTCACCAAATTACTAATGAATATGTTGCACTTTGGCAGATACGATCATATCTGCTCACCACCTACACTTTGATAAATGTTTGCCAACCAGTAAATATATTTAAGGGAAAGCTGGCTTTGTCTTGGTTAAATAATGAAAAGTGATGATTTTTTTTTAAAAAAATTAAATGTCGAATCAAGAAGCAATGATTGGCTTTGTTTGAACTACCTTTGCAGTATACACAGATGAATGATTAAAAAAAACATGCAAGACAGCAGGAGGGGCTCTGTGGGGGTGGGTGAGGACAAGTCATCATCTGTATCTTAGCTTACTGAGCAGTGATGCAATTACCAAAATGCAGTTAATAAGTGAGCCTCACTCACCACCAAAATTACCACCAGTGGTCTGAGGAATAATACTTAAATAAGGTACATGTCTGCAATCTGAAATTATCCAGCTGTGTACTGGGCTATAAGTTATTTTTCAGAGGAAGAACATTATGCAAGTTTAACAAATAAAAATATAATATGGCAAACCTTTGTGACTGGACAGAAATCTTCCCTTCAACAGAAAAAATAAACAGGAAACACCTGGTCTAGATGTTAAATCCAGAACAAAAAAGGCCACAAGAAACTATTAATAAGTAACACTGAGGTGGGGGTGGGGAATTGAAAAACAGCTTGGTAACTCTGAAATAGATAGCAGTTTTCATCCATAAAGAAGTATACACAGGAAACACACAAATAGTATATTATTTTCAAGAGAGAAGTAGACAACTATTTGTCATATCTGCTTTGATTTGGATTTCTGCATTCAGCAGGGGTTTGGATTCCATGGCCTTATAGCCCTCTTCCTACTCAATGGTTATAGGATTCTACACTATTGTCTAGAAATTAGGAATTTTACTTGTGAAATGTATATTAGCAATGATTCAAAGTTTTCATCCATTCTAAAACTATTTACTAGATTTCTTCCTGTTATGGATTTCTTTCTACTGAAATCTTGTGAGTATTACATCATTAGAACTTACTGATTGTTACTTTATCTTTATCTCCCAGCATGATATTATTTGGAGTGAGGTCTCGATGTACAATCCTCTTCTCTTTGTGCAAATATCGAAGAGCTAAACACAGCTTAATGACAAAGAAAAAAGGTAAGGCAAATAAAATGCCATATACAATTCCAACAAACTTCAACAAATAATAGTATGCAACACCAATTAAACAACAACTTAAAACCTGGCACAAGTAGGTAAAGAGTCATATGGGTAGGTTACAATGAAACTCTGGAGCACAAAACTCCAGGGGCAGGGGTGAAATGGAAAGAAATATTTCTAGAACATGAGAAATTGAGAAAAGAGGTCAGTGGCAGACAAATGTTCTATGTCCTCATCAAGTTTACTAGAGTACCCAAATATGTCTCAGCTACATGAAGCATTCCACACAATCTCACATAGTATCTGGGATGCAGAGAACTGAAGTAACTCTCTTGATGGTTTGCCTCAGAGAAGATAGTTTTCCTTCTGGTTGACTGATGGGCCGCTAGGTATTTCTTTAAAAAGGTAACGCTACATGTTTTAACACTGGAAATGGAATTCTCATTTGCAGTAAGCTGTGTTAATTTTACTTCTGCTATGCTCCTTAGCATAGGAATTGGTAAGAGAAGGAGACCACTTTCTCTCTAGTGCATCATCTAGAAAGTGTAATGTGTATGAATCACTGACTTCTAGTTTTAATCACATCTTTGGGACAAACTATAATAACATTTATAATGCCCCACCAATGTGCATAATGTTTTTATGAATACAAAAACCCAGGTCCCTGCCTGATAAGCATCAACAAATGAGTATCCTACAAAGCAGAAATCAAAAAACAGTAATGAAGATGTGCAATGTCTTACTTGAACGAATATATTCCATATTCTTTCTTCTGTAAATTGTTGTTGCTTTTCCTTCAAAGAATGAAAATGTTCTCCTAGTGGTGCCCCTTCTATGAGCTCCATGACTATGTACAGCCTATCATCTACAAAATGAAATTGTAGCAGTAGTAAAGTATTCCATGTTTGTAACCACTGACTGGCCAAGGAATGTCCCCCTGGTATAACATCTAAGAATTCCAAAATACATTATATGATTCCTTGGGACAGACTAACATCTGCTTAATTTTCAAAGAAATGTGACTGCACAAGGACCTATGGCCTAGAGGAAATGGTTGAACAACTACAATTATGTACTGTATTTCTGAGCTCTCTATAACATCAAATGTATCGCGTTCAACAGCATCACATATTTCATCTAGGATTGTCTTGAATAGAGCCATGATGGCTAATAAGACCAATGGATACTGAATTGGCCTCAGGTTTTATATTTAAATGATGCAAGATAACAAATCTTGAGCTATAACTCTGGATCTCCTTTTGTTCAGGGTGTATTGACCAGTGGACCAGTTGGTACATCAAAGGAATCTGAAATCTACCTTGGTCCATCAGCATAATAAACTAACAGCCTACATATTGGATGTCTCCGTACCTAACAATCTAGGCTATTGTGTAGGCATCTTTCAGTCTTGAGAGACTATGGTAACATGCTCTGAATAGAGGTCTTGGAACACCGTCTAGTGTGGCTGAGAAGGCCAATTCGGGAGTGACAATCCCTTCCACACTGAAGACAAATACAACCTGTCCCCTGTCCAGCTCCCTGATTTTGCTGGTTTGGGGACTGCTTCTTTGCCTTGGCCTGCTGGACAAGTGTCTCTTCAAATTGGGAGAGGCCATGATACACCACCTGCCTCCGGGCTGAATGCTCAGATGTCAAAGTTTCCCATCTGTTGAGATCCTTTCCTAAGCCTTTCAGATCCCGCTTGCAGATATCCTTGTATCGCAGCTGTGATCTCCCTCTAGGACATTTTCCCTGCACTAATTCTCCATACAGGAGATCTGTATGGATGCTAAAATCCTCCATAATTGTTGAAGATCCAAGAGCATGAACCAAGATGTAAACATCTTGGAAAGATACATTTTCTGAATCACATAATTCCGACATAGTTAGGCTTCTAGCCTCCAATGCATCCCCTACAAACTCTTCCTCTATTCTATTTCAACTAAAACATTAATGGATATTATCCAATGGTTAAGTTCGAATTAGAATATATTCCTTGAATCAATGACTTTGGTAATTCAAGACTTTTATAAATCCCATTTACTCAGTGGGTCTATTCTAGTTGGGACTAGTAACTGATTCAGTCGTAACATTGCAATCTGATATTCCACTGAGTTTCATGAGGCTTGCCCTCATTGGGTACAGGATTGCAAGCTAAAACCCAAGTCAGATTATGCTAAGCATTGCCCTTAACTGGAAATGGATGATGATAGAAACAGCCTAAATAATCTTCTACTTTAGTTAATTTTATTTTGAAATTATGGTAGCACCTTAGTTTGGAATGCAGCCCCATACATTCATACTTACTTTCTAAGAAGGTTCTGTAATATCGTACAACATTAGGATGATAAAGCTACAATAAAAATAAGGCATAAAGTTATGGTTAAATGGACCATTCATTTTTACACTGTTTCAGAATGTTCCTCTAAGTGGTGGTTATAGCCCACAGGTATAAGGATTATGAAAACAAGCATAATGCTGGCACCGCTAGTTAATAAAAGGCATTATAACACAAAACACTAGGGTGATGTCTTATCTTTTCTGCCGTGACTATTATTATCATGCTACCTCTCATGACCCATCTCCTTTAATTTCTCCTTCCCATGTTATCTTTATTTGATCTATTTAAGTAGATCAAAGACTAATGTATCCTGTGTGAACAGAACAGCAGACTGGGACTCTGGTCTGATTCACATGACTCTTATGTTCTTAACGCAGGGTTAACTTCCTTTTTCTGAAAGCAATGAAATGCTTTTACAGAAAGATAAATGGCAAAAAAGGTACAGTAGAACAAGAACCATGTTCTTATGACTTCCTGATGATGTATCCATCCATCCCTTTAATCCAGGGGTCTCACACATGTGGCCCGGGGGCCATTTGCGGCCCGCCGGATGATAGTTTGTGGCCCCTGCCTTGCCTGCCCCCACTGTAGCGCCCACATGTCCTCTGTTGTCAAGAGTAAAAAAAAAGCCTTGCCTCGCTTGCTGTCTCTCTCCCAAGACAGCACCTCTGTTTGTGTGCGGCCGTGTGCACACAACTGTGGGGGCCCCCACCCCATTCTGTTTAATTTCGCAGGTACCAATGGGGGCTTTTCTCCTCTGGCAAGGCAATTCTGTGAGTTTTTTTTTTTTCTCGACGGCTCTCTCCCAAGACAGCGCCTTTTGCACCCTCCATCCGGAACTGCAGCCTGCCACCTGGCAGACCAGCGGGCTGGCAGGCTGCAGTTCCGGATGGAGGGTACAAGAGGCGCTGTCTTGGGTGTGAGGCGCGCTGCTGGCCCTTTTCCCTGAGCGCCCAAGCCACTCCCAAGCGATGCCTGAGAGCGGAGCTCCCTCTCGGCCCGTCCTCGAAGAGCGCCTCCAACAGCATCTGCCGCCGCCGCCTTTTCCAGGGAAGCGGCTCTCTCGCTCTCTCTCTCTCTCTCTCTCAGCACCCCCAGCACCAGCCCGGCCAGCAGCTGCCTCAGCACCCCGCGGTGCTTCCTCCTCCTCCTCTTCATCCTGCTTCAGCCGCCTCAGCTCTGGAGGCTGCCTGGGCTCGCCTCACAAAGTTTGCTTCCCTGTCGTGGTGGGGGTAGCTGCTGCTGCTGAGTGTGCCTTTTTTGAGGGGAAGGTTGCAGGACCTCCGTGTGTGTGTGTGCGCGCGTGCGTGCGTGTGCACCTTTGGTGGGGCACCCTATTCTGTTTAATTTTGCAGGTACCGATGGGGGCTTTTCTCCTTTTGCAAGGTGATTCTGTTAGTTTTTTTTTTCATCTGATGCGGCTCAGCCTCACCCAGACTCGATTCTGTTAGTTTTTTTTTTTTTCATCTGATGCGGCTAAGCCTCACCCAGACTCTGCCTCTAGCGGCCCCCAGGTAAAGTTTGAGACCCCTGCTTTAATCCATCTATACACATACACCATGACATATTATTCTATAGTATGAATCTGTGCTGGAGGAAGAAACAATACATTTTATGTAATCCTAAATTCAGAACTTATGACAAATTAAAGTAAATGCACTAATAAATAAAACATACATGTACTTAGCTTATTCTCTGGTTACACTTAATGTAAGCTTTGGACGTCAAGATAGGTATTGCTCCCAAAGCATGTATGTATCCTGTCCCTAGTTGTTATTTAAAAAAAATATTTACAAAATAGCGACTGCAAAGATTCCCTATCTTGATCAGGACCACAGCCAAGAAAAAAAGGCTTTCATTTTTTGTTGTGACATTTAAAAAAAATCGTTTTAATGTTTTAGTAGCTTAACTCTGTGTGGTTTGATTTTAATTTGCTTCAAATATCTTATACATTAAAATTGTTTCATACATCTTTATAACCTGACGAAATCCTATGATGTAAGGTGGGCTATAAATGTTTAACTAACTAACTACATTTTTCTCATGAAAGTCCCCATCCATGGCTATTGTTTGCTACCAGATAGTATAAGAAAAGGAAAAAAATGGCAAAATATTTATATTGAGCATTGTATATGCTACTGTTTCCAAATGCTAGAATATTGCTACTTTTTAAAATAACCTGTATACTTAATAAAACAACTTCTTTAGTTCTGCGGTTCCTTTAGGCTACAATCACTTACATAAAGAAATGTTTTCAAACAAACAAACAAAAAACAAGCAACCTGGCTCATTTGGAAAATCATTAAACTATTCTATCTCCATAGATTCATTAAAAGGGAAAGAAAATCATGTTGCTTGCAGACTAAAAACACTTTCTGATTGCTTTTCAAACATTAGAACGTGTTATAGGAAAGCAAACTTGGTTTCGCTGAATTTTCTACAACTTGAGTTTTGTACTTCTTTAGTTTCAAGTTGCAACATGAAATTAAATCTTTAAAATTAAATTAAATTAATCAATTAAAGTTAAAGCACTGAGGCCAACCAGGCAACACTCAAAACTTGCCTATAATTGCAGTTAAGTTTAGGCATCCTCAGTAAAATGTTCCCATTGAGCTGTTGCATGTATTAATCTCAAGACAGACCCTGGGAAATACCCAGATGCATAGCTCTAAGGAGAGTGGAGTTCCTCTTTCTTTACAACAGAAGGGTCATCCTCATGTGAACATTATTGCCATGTGTGGTTCTGCTGCCTCCACAGAAACAATGGTGAAATCTTTGCAGGCAGCACCAATAAAAATATTTGTTTCTAAGTCACTAGAATCCTAACTCAAACTGCAGCAGCTGCACCAAAGTTTGAATGGGCAGAACCTCCTTGTGCTGACTGATCTCAAAAGTCTGCCAGCACAGCTGCTATGCTGGCTAAGAACAGTCAGGATAACAACCAAAAAAGGAATACAAGAGGAGCAAGGCATGGGAAGAGGCTAGTTCTGCCAGATCTAGACCACCTCTAGCCCAGGACACAGTCACTGTGCCAGCATAATCTTAGGCCAAGGTCCTCCTAAGCCATTTTCAGCATCCCTGGCAGGGGTTTGGATTCATCATAGCTTCAGCTGGCCTGTGTCAGTTCTGCTGGCCCTTAGCTATCTTGGCCTTACAACTGTGCTCTGAAATGTCAATATTGCTGGCAGGTAAGTGTGTATAAAATCCACTGAAATCAATAACACTTAAATCACAGAAGCCTCTGTGCTGCAAGGTCAGAAGACCAGCAGTTCTAAAATCGAATCCACGCGATGGAGTAAGCTCCCATCGCTTGTCCCAGCTCTTGCCAACTTAGCAGTTAAAAAGCATGTAAATGCAAGTAGATAAATAGGTACCACCATGGTGGGAATGTAATGCGTTCTGCGTCTAGTCACGCTGGCCACGTGAACACAGAAACTGCATACAGACAAACACTGACTCTACAGCTTGGTGAGCATCGCGCCCTAGAGTTGGACACGACTGGACTAAATGTCAAGGGGAACCTTTACTTTTACCTTATTCAAGTAAACAGTAACACATCCAATTTTCTGTTGATTGGCTCATAGAAGTTAAACTAATAATGTTCATTCAGTTCTGCAAGACTCAGACTGAGATTTCATAAGGCCCTGGGAAAGATGCCATCCAGGTCCTGGCACTTTATCCAGAGTGCCTCTAAGAGTGGGGGAGAGGAGGGAATAATGGAGATGGGCAACAGAAGTGATGGACAAGCATGCTCAAACAGCCACCTGGTACTTATCAGTGCTGGAAGGAGAATCACTGAATAGAGATGGGCACAAACCACTGGTTCAGTATGGTTTATTTCCCAGCTAAACAGATGATCCATTCAGCAGCAGTGCCCCACTCTGCCTCTCCCACACTCTGCCTCCGAGTGGGTGCCTGCTAAAGGGGGTAGTACACTGAGCCACAGATCAGCTGTTTGGCTGGGAAATGAACCATGCCCATTTCTGTCACTGAACAAAGCAGTTATAGACATTGCTATCTTTTTTCTTCCTTCTGGGTTCTTCCTGTGAAAGGTATATCAAGGGGGGCCCCAATTCCTTCCGGGTTCTTCCTGTGAAAGGTATATCAAGGGCAGGACTCAGAGGCATCAGGAAACAAGGAAGCCAGCAGTGAGGTGTAGCTGTCGAACATCTCTAGAATGCTAGGCCCTTATATATATATTGAACAAGTGTAGGTAACCCTAATGGAAATGACTGCCACTTGACAATTTTTATCACAGTATTTAACATGAATATTACAAAGAGCATATGCTGTATAACAGCATATTTAATCTGAACCTCAATGCTTTTAAGATTTATACATTTACAGTTGTCAGTGAATCTTAAACAGAACAAAGGCATTATCAATGAAAGCAAGTTGATTTTTGGTTAAGATCTCTTGACACATTTAAAGACATCCACCCAATTTCCCCCAAAATATATTTCTAACATGTTTAAACTCACTTGTTCTTTAATTATGGTGATTTCAGAAACTATGTTCTTCACACTTCTTTCTCTATCTTTTTTATCCTTTCCGAATGCTGGATTATGTAAATTGATTTCTTTCATTGCTAGAAGGTTTTGGCCACTGTGTTTTCGAACCTTTGACAGGAGCGGGTGGGGGGAAACATCATAGATGTAAACAATAATGGAGTGGAACAGAATGGAAACAAGCATTATTAATTCATTAAAACTAACTGCACTGTGGATATACAAAAAAGCTTATTTTTAAAGCTAATAATCAGCTTGAAAGCACTAGAGTCCCTCTGGAGCTATGAAAATACTGTTAGATAAGGCAAACAGCTATTTGAAAGAACAGATAAGTGCTGAAGCTGGGAATTTTGAAAGTCTATCAACATCCATCTCATATTGGCTGAAAAAATATAATTAGTACTTACACACATCATCACAGTAACATTCTACAACAGCCCTGTGAAGGTCAAGCTACATTTTAATGAAAATGCACATTCTCCCTCTTGGTTACCTTGTTTTTAACTCCCACAATGCATTTTCCCTCAATAGCCTGACTTAAACCCATGTTTGCCTTCTTATAGCTAACGAGATGTCCTTTGCCATTAAAGAAACATGTTCTAACGATGTGCTGCCCAAACTGGAGGATATTTGGAGAAGGGGGAGGACACTGAGGACTAGTGCCTCATGTGAAGACATACAATGAGGGCAGGCCTGAGGTGAGAACTGAAATGGAAACTTCCTTCTTCATACCTTTAGCCACTCTGTTACATGAATTTACTCAACAACAGTTACTTGTTTATTTAAAAAGATGACAGGTTTGAGGAGTATGTCACAGTCCCTGTGTTAAAACTAACCCACCTATGGATCACTTTTTTTTCAGTAGAAAACAATTTTTTAAAATGCAATAGGAATAAAAGTGAAGATCAAGGAATATAAATGCAAATAAATATTTAATACATACAGAAGTCAGATTTACCTTGTAAACACTTCCAAAACCACCACTGCCAAGATGGTCCAATATGGCATAACTGCCTATGTATTTTGTAGGTGCTTTGTTCTGATTGATATTTTCAATGTTTTCTGCTATTTGTTTGACTTGGTCCTCCTAGTTAAGAAATAAATTTAGAATTGGTCTCATTTTGACTGATAATGTTGTGCTAATGTTTTCAACTTCCTAACAGCCCAGGTATTAAACACATTAGAGACCACATTCTCTAATCTTTAAATAATTAAATGAGATGTGTGAAAAAGATATAGCATTTCATCCTGAGATAGCTTTGTTATCAATATTTGAGAAGGTGGAATATATGATGACTAGAGAGTTGATTACCAATTTATTAACAGCAGCCAGATTAATAATAGCTAGGAACTGGAAATAAAAATTGGAATTTCAGATGGAAGAATAGTATAATGAAATACAGAACATTGCTATATACGATAAGTTAACTTGTAACTCAAAGGTTAAGAAAAAAGAGATGAAAAATAATAATTTTTATGATATATGGGGAAGATTTCTTGAATATATGCTAACAAGAGGAAAAGGGAAAGTTCCAAATCAGGAATGAATGCAGTTCTGGAGAAGAGGACAAAGAAGGAAGAAGAAGATAATGGAAGAAAATTACCACAAGAGGTACCGATTAGGGTGGTGGGGGACACAGTTGATTTGTATTTTGGTTTATGTATTTTATGTTTATGTTGTTAAAAAGAGAGAGAGAGACCACATTCTCTTTTATTTCCCTTAATATCTCAAATCTGCCAAGAATACCTTCATTGCTGTTTCACTCATGTGTTAAATTCAGACAACATAAGCACATAGAAAGAAAGGAGTCTTATGTTTTCATTCATTATTTATCATTCTATAGCTTGTTGCAGAATCTGGAAAAGATACTTGTATAGACTACAGTTCCTATAATCCCCTAGCCATTGGTCACACTGGCAGCTCATTTCGCTACCCTTTCTTTGGTTACTTGTTCAAATCCAAGCAAACTTCTAAAATGACAAAACAATATTTTGAAGGCAATTCAATCCTTTCAGATTTTAGCAGATGTAATGTAATTCTAACAAGCAGTTAAAAAACCCTAAAGATTCGTTACTTACCAGTAATGCATTTAGTTTAAATACCAGCTTTTCATAAGCACTGATTTCACGAACATAATGTCCAACGTCAATGAAGCTCTCAAACAAGTCTGCAGGGAAAAGTCTACAAAAATATAAATGTGTGTACTTGTGGAATACTAGGTACAATTTAAACCCAATCAGGTATCCCATTCTGGAGAAGTTCCTGGTTTTATATTACTTAATACATCCTTTTATACCTGCCCATGAAAGAAAACATTATGCAAGTGTGAATTATTTCCGTACCTATCTAGCTACAGAAAAGACAAGTTCCTTTTTTCAGATAAAATATTGTTTAAGTGCTTTTTTAAAATGGCAAATTTTAATATAAATAGTGTAACTAATACCAAAGGTACTCAACCCAGTGTGGTGTAGTTGAAAGAGTGATGGACTAGGACTCAGGAGTCTCAGGTGTGAATTCTTGCTCAGCCCCAGAAACTTGCTGAGGGAGTGTAACTGATAAAACCTCTTCTTAAATATCTGACAGCCTGAAAGCGCCATAAGGGTTACTAGAAGTAGGTTCTGATTTGATGGCACATTACTAACTAAATAATACAAGATAGAAAAGTTTTTTTTTAAAAAAAAAAATCTCTGGCTGTTTCAAAGTGGCTAGCCTCTGAATCTTAAAAATTTTTCTCCAGACTTGGAAATTACATCTGGAATCCTTTTGTTCAGAAATGATTCTAATCAGATGCATGTTTTGAAGATAGACTCTGCTGTCACTAATAACTATTTATTTCATCTGATCAGAAAGACAGCGTTATACTTACAGTCAAACTACCATATTTTTTGCTCTATAAGATGTACTTTTCCCTTCAAAAAACTGAGGTGAAAAGTCTGTGCATCTTATGAAGAAAATACATTATGTTTGGTTCCCTCTAGTGGTCAGTCTGATAATCACACTTTTTTTACAACCCTGATCTGGAAGGACGCTGCCTCAAGCTTGATGGGACTATGGTGGTGGCTTAACAGACCCCCCCAGTACTGTACCCATTGGTAGCACTGATACTACAGGGCGTCTGTAGCAGCCCTGTAGGACCAGCGCTGCTTACTGGACAGCCGGATCACGTGACCAGCCAGATGCTGGGGGAAGCAGAGAGAGAGAGAGAGAGAGAGAGAGAGAGAGAGAGAG